AAAACTTTTTTCCTGAAAATGTATGAAAGAGATATACCTCTTTAGGATATACACATCTCATTTTATTTATTTTTTTTAATTTTTTTTAATGTTTTATTTATTTCTAGGAGAGAGAGAGAGAGAGACAGCATGAGCAGGGGAGTGTCAGAGAGAGAGGGAGTCACAGAATGAAACAGGCTCCAGGCTCTGAGACAGCAAAAAGCACAAAGCAGGGCTCGAACCCACGAACCGCGAGATCATGACCTAAGCGAAAGTCGGACGCTTAACCGACTAAGCCACCCAGGCGCCCCTACACATCTCATTTTAAATAGTCGGGTTTCTAATAAGGAATTAATGTCATTTTATAAGCTAGAAGATGTTGTGACTCAAAAAGGAATATATTTAAACTCACTTTACACTATGGGTTTTAATTTCGGAAAGCTTTTAGTAATACTCATAATAATAACAGAAAATCCGATTCTTATTTATAGATAACTTAATGATTTCACTTTTCTCATTGCAATTCAGCTTATTTCCCTAATGAAGAACACTATTTTAAAGGAAATTTTAAGAACTCTATTTTAAAGGAACACTATTTTAAAGACTATTTTAAAGGAAATTTACATCCCTACTAATGAAGTCATCTCTATTTACACAATGATGCAATCAATAAACACTTTTGCTCTCCTACTATGTGATACAAAAATGAAAGTATATATTCTTTGTGCATCAGAAAGAAAAAGAACAAATTAATACTTAAAATACAAAGTTATAAAATACAGAAACATGCACAGAAAACAAGGGCTGAAGATCAGTTCCAGTGTAGCCTTAGCAAGGATTATTTTTTATTGTTGTTTTGTTTTTGTTCTTTAGTTTGTTTTAACCTGAATCAGACTGAAGGGTGTGAAGCAACTAAGGAAATCAAGAGCCATGAGGAAGAGCATTGAAGACAGAAAAAGAAGTGCAAAGTCAATGAAGAGAGAAATGTTGATGTGTTGAAAAACTAATTGGTTTGCTGTCTGTAGCTGAGTGGGAAAGTAAATACTTGTGAAGAAGAGCCAGTGCAGTAGGCTTAATCATGACATCCCACAATATATATGTGTCCGAATCCTAGAAATCTGTGAATATTACATTTTATTGGCAAAAGATATTAAAGATATAAGTTAAATTCTTGAGATGAGTATTCCCTAAATGCAATCACATATATCCTCTAAAAGGGAGGTAGAGAAAAAAATTTTTTGCACACACAAAGGAGAGGATAATTTGGCCACCAATGCAGAATTTGTGGTGATGCAGCCACAAACCAAAGAAGGGTTATGGCCACCAGAAGTTGAAAGAGGCAAAGAATGGATTCTCTAGAGCATCTGTGGGGTGGGGGAGGGGCATAGCTCTGCTGTCACCTTGATTTCAGCCAAGTGGAACTAGTTTTGGACTTGTGGCTTCTGGAACTAGAAAAGAATAAATTTTTGTTATTTTAAGTCCTCCAATTTGTGCTAATTTGTTACAGTAGCCCCAGGAAATAAATAGTTCCCACAGAGCAACCTGTTGTGGGAACTTGCATGATAAGCTAAACAATTGTATCAGAACCTCTGGTTAATTTTAAAAAATGTATTAGGGATTTTACAATCATAAAAATTAAGTAAGTAACAAAAATATATCTTCAGTTACAATCCAAATATATACTCCTACCATGTATGCTTATTAAAAATCAGCCAATTTTTATATTAATCATTCTGTCTACATATATATATAATTTAATCTTTTGTTACATGTCTGTGTGCTTCATTCTGCTGAAAATGTTACGAAATTTAGACTTATTACCTCATTTTTTGACAATTTTATCACATCTATCTGTATGCCACAGGAAAATGAACACACACATAAAATACCAGACACAAATTTTAGGCCTTAAAAAACTTGATGAAACAAAACCATCCACCTATGGGAATACATAACAAACTTTAGCAAAGACAGACTTTACAACAAGAAATCAGTGTTAAGAGCAAGAGTGAAGAAGAGCAGAGTGGGAATGAGAACACTGTATCATTTGCTTGTAATGAGTTAAAGTGAAAAACAATTGGGTTTTCCTCCCCTTCTAACTAGCAACATGGTTTCTGAGAAGTTACTTTAAGGTTTTCTCTTTCAAATTCTCATTTATACATTACTGCAGCCACATTGGTATTATGTAAGGCCTGTTTCCATTTGAATTCTCTGTTTTTCTCTAACTACAATGTTCTACGTTTCTAGCTAGAACAGGCCCAGACAATAAGTTTAGAAAGACTAAACTATTCAGGAAATGTTGACAAGGTGCAATGCAGAGTTAGAGCAGCCAAGAAAGAAGTGAACTGTGAAACAATTGGCATTGTTGCTCTTTTCTATAAGTTCGGAAAATATTGTTAGATTTTGACATAAACATTCCTAAAAGTATGTGTGTGTGTTGCAATATATATATAATGTATATTATATTGTATCTAATATATGTATTGCAATTTCAGTATTGTTACCCATAATATGAGATTGTGGGGAATAAATTTAGGAATTACGCAGGGTTACACCAATGGGTTAACAAGGCATAAAGAGGTACAAAGCCATAGGATGCCTACACCCAAGCTTGGGTAAACAGATTAAGATAGAGCAGGGAGGGGCAAAGGCCCCCAGGATAGAGTAGGGAGCAAGGCCACCCAGAATAGGGAGGGCGGCAAAGGCCCCTAATACAAAGGTATATGAGGTAAGCAGGATTAGATGTTCAGTGCAAAAATGCCCCCCAATTTAGTACTATAACAGAAAACTGCTTTCACAGGAAGGAAGGACCAAATTAGGTAAATAGGTAAATTAGGGCTATAGACCACTGTACTGTGATGGGAATGAAGCTTCCCAGAGTGGAGGTGATTAACAAAAGAAGCAGTGCCTTGTTAACTCTTAGGTCACCTGTCCTACCTATCTCATCCCCTAGGCTAGCTAAGATAAACAGAGGTGGTACCTCATGTCCACTGTAAACTTCCGCCTGACTGCCCCTCACCAGGATTTTGGTTTATATTAACCCAAACCCTAACCCGAATATCTTTAAGACCCCCTTTTGCTCACATCCCTATGTTAATATTCACAGTTTCATTGTCTCTTTGTGCACATAGATCACTGTGTTTGTAAGCCTTCTAATCCTAATAAAAATGTGGCGAGGACCCTTATTTGGGGCTCTTATCATTTCCCAGACATTAGCTATCTCTCACATTTAATCCTGTATCCTGCTTTCTTGCTAGACAAGAAAGAATTTTAGACCCAGAGTCTCTGACATGAGATAATGAAATAGATTGTATATTATTATTATATGAGGCTATAAATGCATATGTAACTTGTGAATCATTTGATATACTATCCGATCCCTGCTCATCAGTCAGATGTCTAATTCCACCTTAGTATATTTTAGTTATTGAAAGTCTGTTTCATGGGCACAGATTCTAACAATGCCAATAGTCTGGTTTCCTTGAAAATAATACCTTTTGAAATAAGTGTGCAAACTTAGCTATCTGAGATGTGCATAATTCTCAATACTATCAGTCCCTTGAGTTAAAATAACTCAAGATATCAGTGCCCTACAAATGCTGTATCTAAAAATTCAAAAGAGGGGTGCCTGGGTGGCTCAATCGGTTGAGCCTCCTACTTCAGCTCAGGTCATGATTTCACAGTTCAGGAGTTCGAGCCCCACGTGGGGCTCTGTGCTGACAGCTAGCTCAGAGCCTGGATCCTGATTCAGATTCTGTGTCTCCCTCTCTCTCTGACCCTCCCCTGCTCACTCTGTCTCTCTCTCTCTCTCAGAAATAAATAAAATATTAGAAATTTTTTTAAAAAATAATAAAAATTCAAAAGAGAGCAGTATTTGTTAAATATTGATTACATGACTGCATTCTCACATTTTCCTATATGTTGACCTATATGTTTCCTATATGTTCACTAAAAGCGTCAACTAAAATATGCAGACTGTATTGGCTCTATTGTTTCTGCGCAGTGCTTAGCACAGAGCAGCAGACAACATGACATAATGCATGTTTTGATCATATTTGATGATTTTGAATTATCCTAGCTTTTCTTCACCCCATATTATGGGTAACAATACTGAAATAGCAATGGTCTTTATAAAATGGACTGGAATATTTATTTTGATTAGAAAAAATATTCATACACCAAGAATAAAGATTTTAATGTTTATAAACAGTACACTTCCTGTATATTGTTCATGTAAACTTTGTATGGGGTTACTTAGGCTGTGTTACTTAAGCTGTGGTAATCAGCTACAGCACAGTTTTGCAACACTTTATGCAATTAAATTTTACCTTATGTATATGTCACATGTCTGGAATATATATATTTGCTAATATTTCAACAAACTGTCTCAGCATTTTCTAAATTAAATTAATATAATATGTGCATTATTTCTAAAAGTTAAGATGTTTGTACCTATTTTTTTTAATGTTTTATTTATTCTAGGAGAGAGAGAGAGACAGCGTGAGCAAGGGAGGGTCAGAGAGAGAGGGAGTAACAGACTGAAACAGGCTCCAGGCTCTGAGCTGCTAGTCAGCACAGAGCCCAACGCGGGGCTCGAACCCACGAACCGCGAGATCATGACCTAAGCGAAAGTCGGATGCTTAACCGACTAAGCCACCCAGGCGCCCCTGTTTGTACCTATTTTAATAAAAATTTTCATACTTTATACAAATTTAATTTTGTAAGCCAATTAATATCCTAAAAGCACCAATAAAAATAATTTCCAAATATTGTATAGCTAGCTCCTGTAGGTGAATAATCACCTTCCATTAATCATTTTAAGTGTCCTTTTTGCAATTCCAAATTTTTACTTTTGGAGTGAGTACATTCAAACATATTATTACTACATAGCTATAATCAGATTATGAAACTACGAAAGTGGATGAAATCATGAGATAAAATGAATCAGAATTCTATGCCTGCCATTTAAAATATATTGTTCTTTAATATTAACATTATATTTCATCCATTTTGCAGATTGAGAACCTGAGTAAAGAGGTTATATGATCTGTCTACATCACAAAGGAAACTTTCTGATCCAACAATTGACAGCAGTGCTGAAGTCTCCAGCTACTGGAATTCATTTCAATTCTGATAAATGAAATAAGAATGCATATTTCTGACCTCTCTTATTTACAGAACAAATGAACAATGTAGGCAGAGAATACAAGAGATACATTGTAACAGACAGCATGTATGTATGAATCAATATACCAACACACCTACCTTCTAAAGCTCTTACTGGTTCAAACAAAATATTTCACTCAAACATATTGACAATTCTGATTCTGTGGATAAATTTGTACTGCCTATGCCATAGACACCAATCACCTCTTTGAACCAAGTGAGGATATAAATCAGCAAGTGAAGGCAAGTTTTCAAAGCTTGTTCCAGACAGAACTTCAACAAACCAACTAAACTGTAAGTAGCAAAGATATTACATGGATTGGCCTGCTGTGCAACAAACAGAGGAGGTAGCTTTGTTCAACTCAGGCTTTGAGCTGACCTGGGGCTTAATAGGCAGTCACATTGCCAGGTTTTGCAAACTTCAGCACTGACCATGAATCAAAAAATAGTCTTCCCTGGCATCTATTATTTTAGCTAGAACTAAACATATAGATAGTTAGAAATGACAGTGTCATAGTTCTGTGGGCAAGAAGAACACATTATCTAGACATATGTATATGTAAGTATTTTTGTAACATTCCAAATATATTAAATGTAAGTATTTTTGTAATATTCCAAGTATATTAAATTATTCTAAATAAATATCCCAAATATATACAGTCAGCAAAATGTATATAAATTTTTAAAGGACTGAAGAGCCAAAAAAATAAGGAGTTAGTTTGAGGACTTACTAAACTTTGGGACAAAATCTTGGATTTTCAGATTAAAGTAAATAGTAAGAAAGAAATTCACGTTTTAGAATTTGGGATGATTGCAATAGAAGATGGTACTATCTTCAATATTAGCTCACAAGAATGGATATCTGTTTTACCTTATGTTTTACACCCCTCCCCCATTTATCAGAAAAAATCTCTGCCCTATAGATGTTGAAATTGGTTCATTGCTTTTAACTGTAGTCACCTTATTGAAAACCATCAAATGAACTGCCAGCTGTACACCTATATTATCCTTATTTACCATATTTATAATTTTGATTAATACATTTGATTATCAAACTAGTATTACATTGCAATAATCTTAGAGTAACACCTATTAAAAATAAATATTAAAATATAAAATGGTGCTGATGATTAAATTGTGAATCACAATCTGACATGGTAGACAAAAAAATAATTATTTTAATTTTTTGCAGATATTCTTTGGAACTTTAATACATGAGAGTTAATCTTCACTAAGAGCAATGACTTCTTCAAATTCACTTCATATGCATACATGTAATGTCTTTACTTCAGTCTCAATTATTTAAAATATTTCTTCCAAATTTAAATCATGGTTAGAATCATTGTTATTATGATTACATCTTTGCTACCTTCAAAAATATTCAGTTTCCAACATTCTGCTCTTTTTCATAAAATTTGCATTTATTTGAAAAGTTTAAACAATGATGTCACAAATGATGTCAGTGACATCATTTTTAGTCACTGTTTAGACTATGTTTAGTCACATAATTTTTAGACATAATTAAAGTGAATTAATTAATTTAAAGGTTGAAATTAGGTAGTAGTCAAAGCTTTCCATTAGAGAGGTAAAATCAGGGGTGCCAGGGTGGCTCAGTTGGTTAAGCGTCCAGAGCCTTGAGCCTGTTTCAGATTCTGTGTCTCCCTCTCTCTCTGACCCTCCCCTGCTCACGTTGTCTCTCTCTCTCTCTCAGAAATAAATAAAACATTAAAAACATAGATTGAGATACCTTCAGGAAGTTATATAGCATGTGATTTTTTTCTTTCTTTCTTTCTTTCTTTCTTTCTTTCTTTCTTTCTTTCTTTCTTTCTTTTGTTTTCTTTCTTTAAAGTTTACTTTTATTTTGAGAGAAAGAGAGTGAGTAGGGAAGGGACTGAGAGAGAGGGAGAGAGAGAACCCCAAGCAAGCTCCACACTGACGTGGGGCTCAATCCCATGAACAGTGAAATCATGACCTGAACAGATACCAAGAGTCAGACACTTAACCCACTGAGCTAACTAGGCGCTCTGACAGCATGTGATTTCTTAGAAGGCAGCTATGCTCACCACTATAACACCAACGCAGACCAGCATGTGATTTCTTAAACAAGAGTCAAAAAGTATAAAGTACATAGTGAAATTAATTAATTTGGCCACATTAAAATAAATACATCTGCAAGAGTTTAAATAAAGTAAAAAGACAAGCTATATATTATAGGAAACAAAACGCAGCTACAATCGATATGGCCAACAAAGAAGTCTCAAGAAACTCAAAAATTATAAAACATAGAGGATACAGAATTCCCCTAAGCGTCAAGGAAATATGCATTAAAAATAATATAATGAAATTGTGTACCAAGCAAAAATTTACATTTTAAATTATGCAAAATTTTAAACATCTGAAAATTTTAATTTTACTAGTAGTTTTCTTTTTTAAAATATTATACAAGGCAGTGAGTTAATTTCAGTTATATTCAACTGTATATCTAATTGTGCAGACTACATTTATTGATAGTCACCATTCTGATGTTAATTACTAATGACACCGGGTCACATGCTTTAGTCTCTGTTACACCCACACACACAAGCGCACACATGCATGCACACATGCACAGACATACACATACACACAGAGAACTATCTTTTTTGACTTTCTTTCTTAAAAAAAAGTTTTAAGTGTTTTGTTTTGTTTGTTTGTTTTTGAGAAAGAGACAGAATACAAGTCAGGGGAGGGGAGGCGTGGTGGAGAGAGAGGGAGACACTGAATCCAAAGCAGGCTCTAGGCTCCAAGCTGTCAGCACAGACAGAGCTTGACACAGAGCTTAAACTCAAGAATCATGAGATCATGACTTGAGCTAAAGCTCACGCTTAACTAACTGAACCCCCCAGGCACCCTGTTTTTTTTGATTTTTCTAAACCAATGGCACATTCTTTCTATTCTCTCAACTCTATGATTTTTCCATTTTGTATCATGTTAGGGAAGTTTTTATTTTTCAAAGGACCAGTTTTATCCATCTTTAAACTTTCCAGAACTTTACACTTACAAAACAATACTATAACCAAATTCCTAAGATTTGTGAATAGATGAGCAGGAATTATGATAAACACTGCACAGGCATTGTTTCAGCAGTTTGCTTCATTATCTACATCATCATTAAGCTAAATTTATCTACCTTAAAACAAAAATCCAACTACATCAATTGCAAAGTCTCTTTTAGCATATAAGCTATCCCTCTGTATTTCTTCACAATAAAATCTTTGAAAGGAAAGTCCATAATTATTTTTCTTCTACTTTTTTTCTCCTTTCTAGAACCACCCCAATGAGCCATTTTTACAAAGAAGTTGATTGAATGAAATTTTATCAAGGAAAACAATCACCTGGGAATTATTACATCTAATGGATAATTCTCACTCCTCACATAATTTCACCTACAAACAATAGTTGATAAAGTAGCCACACATTCCTTCCTGAAACCGTACATTTTTCCTTGTTTCCAGGATATTATATGTTTTTCCTACCCTACTGGTTAGTTCTTCCATTTTCTTTCCTAGATTCTCCTCATATCCATGACCTCTTAATGTTAGAATGTCTTAGAGCACAACTCTAGGCCCTCTCCTCTTGTATATCTTATCCAATCTCAAGGCTTTAAACACTATCCATAAATTAAAAATTCTAGACTGTATTTTTACTGAACTTTTCCCTTGAATTCCAGACACATTGATCAAAGTGCTACTAGATTTGCATTTTGGTATCTAATAAACATCTCAACTTAAGCCTGTCCAAATCCTAATACAATGTCTCTTTGTCCAATCAAATTCTGCTTAAATTGTATTCAACATAGTAAATGGCAATTTCAAAATTCTAACTGCACAGAACTAGTCTGTTTCATTTTGCTCTTGTTACAAATAATAACACTAATGTTAGTTTTTACAATCACTTGGTTTTTATTAGATCACAGAAAATATCACTCTTCGAAGTAGTGGCAAGCATAAAGTCTGATTATCTTTTTTATATTTTTTGTTTGTCTTGATGACTCTCACATCTCCAGGCATCTGGGATACAAATGACATTTAAAATTGTTCCTAATTATTTATAAAATACTTAGTGCTTTTTATCTTGTGCTCTATGTTCAATTTTGTTAGTTTTTCCCCTGATGTTATAATTTTTAAAAATCCCTTTCCAAAAGTAAAGTACTTAGCTTTTTATAATGTTCTGTTTCTAGTTGTGGTGGCTCTTTTGCATCATTGGAAGACATTTCTAAAGATTTGCAGATGAGTTGGACAGATAAACTTGTTATTAGCATATCAGAGCACCTAAAAGCAACTGTTAACAGACATAAAGAAACTGAAAGTAATACAATAATAGTAAGAAACTTTAACACCTCTCTTACATCAATGAATAGATCATCCAGTCAGAAAATCAACAAGGAGGGGCGCCTGGGTGGCTCAGTTGGTTAAGAGTCCGACTTGGGCTCAGGTCATGATCTCACAGTTTGTGGGTTCGAGCCCTACATTGGGCTCTGTGCTGACAGCCAGCTCAGAGCCTGGAGCTGTTTCAGATTCTGTGTCTCCCTCTCTCTCTGACCCTCCTCTGCTCACGCTGTCTCTCTCTCTCTCTCAGAAATAAATAAAACATTTAAAAAAAAAAAGAAAATCAACAAGGAAACAGTGACACTGAGTGACACATTAAACCCGATGGACCAAAATATATATACAGAACATTCTGTCAACAGTGGAATATACATTCTTTTCAAGTGCACATGGAATATTCTCCAGTATAGATCACATCCTTGACCACAAAACAAATGTCCACAAATTCAACAATTGATATCATCTCACACCTCTTTCCAAATGACAATGGCATAAAACTAGAAATCAATCATGTGAAAAAAAATCTGGAAAGAATGCAAATACTTAGTAACTAAATAACATACTACTAAAAACCAAATGGGTCAACCAAGAAATCAAAAGGAAATTTTGAAAATACATGGGGAAACAAATGAAAATAAGAATAGAACCGTCCAAAATCTTTGGGATACAGCAAAAGCTGTTCAAAGAGAGAAATTTATGGGAATACAGCTTATCTCAAGAAACAAGAAAAATAATCTAAACTTACACCTAAAGAGAGCTAGAAAAAGAAAAAATAAATAACACCCAAAGCCAACAAGACAACATACTAAATGGAAAAAGATTACTTGCAAATGATGTATTTGCAAGGGTTAATCTACAAAATATACAAAAAAAAATTAACACCAAAAATTTAAATAATCTGATTTAGAAATGGGCAGACGCTATGAA